CTCATAGTCTAATGGGGGAGACAACATGGAAACAACTATGTATAAACAAAATATATACAGGCTATATTGGAGATAATCAACAGAAAAGACACTAGGTGGATCAGGAAAGGTTGCCCATAGAAGACAGGATTTTAGCTGGTACTTCTAGGGAAGCGAGGAGATAGAGATGAGGAGTGAGAGTATTTCAGGCACAGTGACAGTCATTTAAAATGCCTGCAGTCAGGAGATGGAGTGTTTTGTTCTAGGAAGATCAAAGAGGTCAGTGTCACAGAATCATAGAGTACACGGGAGGAGTTTGGAGTAAGGTGTAAGAATACTGGAAAGGTAGAAGGAAGCCAGGTAGGGAAGGGCTTTGAATGTCAGAGACTTTTATATTTGATCCTAGAAGGGATAGAGAGCCCCTGGAATTCATTGATTAGGGGGATGGCATGGTCAGATAGGCACTTTAGGCAGTGGATAATAGACTGGAACGGGGAGAGAACTGAGACAAGGAGGCCAACTAAAAGCTTTTGCAATAGTCCAGGTATGAGGTGATGTGGGCCTGCATCAGGGTGGTGGTTGTGTCAGAGAAGGTGTTTTTTTTTTTTTGAGAGATGTTACAAAGGTAGAATTCACAAGACTTAGCAAGAAATTGATATGGGCAATGGTCTAGGGTAACACCTAGGTTGCAAGCCTGGGTGACAGGGAAGATAGAGGTGCCCCTGTCAGCAACAGGGAAGTTTGGAAGACGGAAAGTTTTTTGGGGAAAGATGATGAATTCAGTTTTGTGCATGTTGAGTTTGAGTCTATGGGACATCCGGTTGGAGCTAGCTAATAGGCAGCTGGAGATTTGAACCTGTAGGTTAAGAGACAGGTTAGGGGCTGGATAAGTGGATCTGAGAATCATCAGCTTAGACATAATGACTAAACCCATGGAAGCTGATGAGATTGCTATGTGAAATAGTACAGAGGGAGAAGAAAGCCCAGGACAGAGCCCAGGGAGACACTCCCTTTTAGCAGCTGTGATCTAGTTGAAGATCCACCAAAGGACAGGGAGAAGGAGTAGTCGGATAGGTAGGAAGAGAACCCAGTGGGGTATTGTTATGAAAACCGGGAGAGAAAAGAGTAGCAAGGAGAAGAGGGTGATGGACAGTGCTAAAGGCTTCAGAGCAGTCAAGAAGAATGATAATTGAAAAAAAAAGGCAATTAGATTTGGCAATTAGACTCCTAATATAAGGGCAGGAGTTGAGAAGGAGAAAAAAAAATGTGATCCAGGCACTGAACTCATTGAATAAAGGAGAATTTCCTGGAAATCACTGCACAACAGCTACCAGAATTTTGATTGGGTGGCAAATATGGATTGAATGAAGGTGAAAATGGAGGAGAGATTATTGAGTGATGGTGACAGAAGGAAAGTGTTATTCTACTTTCTGATAACATTGTTGTTAGGCAGTTGCTTTCCCTCCCCCTGAAACTAGGTCTGAATTTACCTTTTTGCAATATCTATTCATTGTTCCTAGCTCTGTTTTCTGGAGTCATACAGAACAAATTCCAAACCCCTTTTCACCTGACAGTTCTCCAAATACTTGAACATAGGTATCATTTTCCCCTGAGTTTTCTCTTTTCTAATCTAAAACATTTCTAGTTTCTTTCAGCTCACCCTCAGTTCAACTCCCCTTCACCATCACTGCTGCCCTTCCATGAAAGCTCTCCAGCTTGTCAATTTCCTCTATAAAATGTGGTGCCCAGGACAGAACACATTTCGGTTACTATCTGACCAGAGCAGGGTACAATGTCAATAGCCCTAACAACTTCTTAGTCCTGGATATTACCCCTCTCTTAATGAAGACTAATATTGCTTTGGGTTTTGTAGCTGCCATGTTATCCTGTTAGCTCATATTGACTTTATAATTAACTAGAAACCCTACATTTTTTAGACAAATTGTTGTATAAGCATGTCCCCCATCTTATACTCATAAAATTGATTTTCATCTTTATCCCCATTAAATTTCATCTTATTACATTCAGTCCAATGTTCTAGTCTGTCAAGCTCTTTTTGAATCTGGCCATCTCATGAATTAGCTCTCCCTTCCGGCCTATGCCATCTGCAAACTTCATAAGCATGATATCTTCGCCTTTACCTAAGTCATTGATAAAAATATTAAACAGCACAGGGCCAGAGACACATAAGACACTCTACTGAAGACCTCTATCCAAGTTGGCATTGAATCATATAAATGGCAATCTTTGGATCTAATTATTCAGCCAGTTTCAAATCTATCTAATTGTACTGTCATCTAGCATACATTTCTCCTCTTTTCTACAAAAGTAGCATGAGAAACTGTGACAGATACATCGTTCTCTTTTCTGAGCTCTGGACTCACATCTCCAAGTGCTTACAGGACAGTGCCATCTTGATCTCCTACAAGCAACTCATACTCAATGTGTCCCAAACCAAATTGACTATATTTCCCTGTAAAACTGTTCCTTATTCTGAATTTACTACTTTATTACCATCTATAGCAAGCACCACCACTATCCCAGTCTTCTGTATTCAAAACCCCAGGGCTATCTCTGCCTGTCCCCTTCCTTTTAGTATCTACATACAAAGATTCCAGGGTCATCCACTGCATCCTGGGCCATTGTCAGTCATCTTGACTTTTGTCTTGCCACTGGACTTTGATGACTCTGGAAGAGAGAGTAAGGCTGATGATTTTGTGCAACTGTACCTTACTTAAATCCAGTTCACATATAAGTCAAAACATCACCTATCACGTCTTGATGTCACTGGTCCTCTTCAAAAATGAAGGACAAAAAACAATAACAATATATAATCAGCTATTGAGTTCTTTCTAGTGAGCTTCTGCTGCAATATTTCTGCATACATGTGAATATGCAGAATATATGTGTGCACATATATGTATATGTTTTATATATACTTATATATGGATATATATTAATAACCACTGCTAATTTTATTACCATCCTCCTGAAGTATAAAAACCGCTTCTACCATCTACCTTTTCAATCTATTTTTCACACTGCAAGAATATTTTTACTTATGCATAGATGTAATCACGTCACCATTCTGATTTTTTAAAGAAATTTTCAATGACTCCTACTGCCTATAAAATAAAGTTCAGACTCTTTTGCTTGGCATCCAAGACCATCCACAAACCAGTGCCACACTACCTTTCCACCCTTATTTCATCTTATTCCCCTCCTCACACCTTATGTCAAATGCCCCCTTCTCCCAATATGTGCTATTCTCTCTCTCAACTTCATTGTTTTTCCCATGTTTTTCCCACGCATGGAATGATCTCTCTTCTTTCATCTTTTGAATTCCTGCTCATTCTTAAAAGTCAAACTCAAATGTACTTCCTCCATATAATAATTTTCCCTGATTGATTCCAAGTGGATAATGACCCACCGGCTCATAAAGCACTTTGTTCTTTAATATATCTTTTTCAGACAAACTATTATGCCTGTCCTACTTGTACTTATAAAGTTGCAACATAGTTTTCTGAATATGTAACATAGTTTGTGTCTTATTTCTCTCCTAGATTGTAAAGCCCAGGAGGGCAGCCTTCGGCAAAATAAAATACCCTGGGGACCTGAGTTCAAATGTAAGGTCTGTTAGTTACTCCTTTTGTGAAAGGAATATCACATGGGAAAATAACAGTCTCTCTGGTCCTCAGTTTTCTCATCTGCAAAATGAGGGGGTTGGATTAAGATCACCTCTAAGGTCTCTTGGAATTCTAAATCCAATGGTCTTTTCTAAACCTTGATCTTGCTTAACACAATGCAATCAATAAGCATCAGTCAATCAACAAGCATTTATTAAACTCCTACTATATGCCAGGCTCTGTGTTAGGCAGTAAGGTTACAAATGCAAAGAATGCAACAAGTCGTACTCTCACATCTCACATCTTTGCATTCTCAGTACCTTGCACAGTGTAAACATGTCTAAAGAATGATTATGGAACTCAGGAAAGTGTTGTCAACTTTATATTGCCAAAACGATGAGTATTACATATCTGACACAGCAAGGAGGTAATGCTTGAGCCAGTTAGGAGTTGTAACAAGTCTCAGCCTCAGTTCCCTCATCTGTAAAATGAGGACAATAACAGCATCTATTTCATAAAGTTTTTATGCGAATCAAAGCAGATAATAGTTGTAAAGTGTTTTGCAGATTGTAAAGGTCCATAGAAATGATAGGGTTTTATAGGCAATGAATATTTATGAATCAGATACAAAGAAAGGAAAATGACAGACCCTTCTCTCAGGGAGCTCACAGTATAATGAGAGAGAAAACATTAAAATAATTATGTATAAACAAGATACATACAGGATAAATTGGGGAGAGTCTCAGAGAGCAGGTACTGGCATGAAGGAGGATTGGGAAAGGCTTCTAGAAGATCTGATTTCATCTAATATATCGACTCTCCTTTGTCTGGATTGCAAACTCCGTGAAGGCAAGAAGGCATTGTTTTCTGCAGACCTGTTACCCCTCACTATGTTTTAATCCTTGCAGCCTCTAATGAACTTTATTCCGTGAATTGGATTGGTTGCTCGTTCTGTGTGATCTTAAAAAAAAAAATCATAAAGACATTGCTCAGGTCTTGGTGTTACCTGCCTAAGAAGAGAGCTTTTGGGAGCAGAGTGAAAGAGTGGGTGTGGGGCCTGGGGAGTTAAAAAGGAGTTAAAAGGAACGTGGAAATCAATCCTTCAGAGCCCAAGGAAGACGGGTCATTGAGTCTACATAAGGCTGGAAGAAGCGTGTCTGGGCCAAACAAACTCTACGTTCCAGGTTCAGAACAGTCGCTCTACCACTGCTGTGCTTACAGCGGCCAACCCCCCCCCCCCCCGCCCTCCGCCCACACCCCCTCCCACGCTTAGGTTGACCTAGGAAGCTCACGGAAACCGTGAAGGAGCCCAGGCAGACCCAGCCCAGAGTCAAAAGAAGGAGGGGGAGGGGGGGAAAAGCCAGTATCTTCCACCCCCGGCGGAGGGGGCGGGAAGCGGAGAGCTGCGGGAGCCGGCCAGCTTGTTGGACTTTGTGCAGCTGCTGGGAGAGCCGAGCGGCAAGGATGCAGCTCCCGAGAAGCTGGCGCGCTGGGCTGCGGCTGCAGCTTTGGGCGACCCTGATCGGTTTGCTGAGTTTGCTGGGTGAGTAGGGGGGACGGTCCCCTGGGAGCGGGACCCTGGACGCATAGCCTTGCGGCAAAGGGGAGGGAACTCACCAAGAGGTTTGGAGGGACTGCAGGCTGGATTATCGAGAGATACCGACCCTCCCCATCAGTGCACCTCTCTCCCCTAGGAGAGCGGGTTGCTGTTCTAGACTCGGGCAATGGCTCTCAGGGAGGAAATTCTAACGGGAATTTATGGAGGCGGAACTGAGTCGGGCCACGCAATGGGACAAAACTGCTTCTGGGAGTTAGCTGCATGTGGTGGGATGGAAGATGACCAAATCTTAGTGGGTGCGTGTGTGTGTGTGTGTGTGTGTGAGTGTGAGTGAAGGTTGGCGGAGGCATGGGGGAGTGGGTTGTCGGGGCAGCCTTAGGATCGTGCTTTGGAAATGCTGGCCAAATCTGCTCGGTGCCAAAGGGGGGTGGGGTGGGGGCCGCGGAGCTACCCACTTAGCCTGAGGGTCTTGAGCGCCAGGGGTTCCTTGGGGTCTGGTACGGAGATTTATTGGCCCCCACCTCCCAAGGACTGTCTGAATCAAGATTGGAGACGGGGCGGGGGGTGGCTGCGACTGTGGTGCGTCTTGCAGATGCCTGCAAGCTTTGGGAGTGGGTGGCAGAGTTAGGTGACCAGTGAAGAGTTGGTAACCAAGAACAGACACTTTTAATGCTATTTTAAAATACCACCCACAAAGGTAACCCTGCCTCACAGCTGGGCCTTGCGCCTAGTAGGTGCTAAATATTTCTTTCTGCCTGGACCGCAGATCCATTCTCGTGCGCCCCCTCTCCGTCTTGAATACTCAAAGCGTTAACGCTCGCGTGAAGTTCCTTCTGCCTCTGCGGATGACTTCACTTAAGGTCCCTTAAATCCTCAGTGTCTCTTCTGCCCTGGATCAACCCCTCTACTCCCCACCCAGTGTCTCGATGTTCCATCCTTTTTGCCTTTCCTCGAGACCCAGATACAAACTCCACATCGAACGCCCCGAAACCCGTAGCTCCCAGGCCACTTGAACACAGCCTCATTGGCTCTGCTCACAGGGTCCCACCCAGTTGGAGAGAAAGCAGCTCTGGGCCGAGATGGATGGGGAGGGGTGGTGGTGAGTTCTGCGGGGTGTGGTCGTACCAGACCCCCCAGTCATCGACTTGTTTTCCCCGGCGGTACTGGTGGTGGTGGTGACACGGGAGGGGGTGTGCCTGAAGCCTTGGAACAGAGTAACTCTCCTAGGTGTTAAGCCACACTGTCACGGAGAGAGATGGAGTTGGCCGGGAGCTCGGATTCCAATCGGATACTCCGTTCTGCTTTGGCTCAGCTGCTTTGAATGATGTGGTCCTGGGACTTCGTCCCGCGCCAGCCTTGTTTTTACTTAGCCTATCCTTGTCATACTATGGTTAAAGCCACTTCATAAAAGGATTTGTTCTGTGAAGTTTGGGTTCAGTCAGAGGGTCTCGAAGTCCCAGGTTCCCCACCTCTGGAAGGGGAACCTAGGGTAGATGAGCGTGCTATGCTGTACCACCTGTTGCAGTGAGAGAGAGAGGAGACAGAGAAAGACAGAGGTAGAAAGAGGAGAAGGGAAAGAGAAACAGAGAGAATAAACGAATTTTCCCAGCCTGGGAACCCCGTGCCTTCGATTCTAGTTCCAGTATACTGCTGCTGCGTCTCACCATGGGCAAATCCGAGGATTCAGTGCTGGCAGAATGTTAGAAGTCTAAGCCAGACTCCCTCATTTTACAGATAAGGAACCTGAGGTTTAGACAGGCTAAAAGACATCACAGAAGTAGCAAAAAACCAGGGCAGGCTCCATACCCAGGTCCTCAGAATTCAAACTCAGTTCTCTTGCCCCAACACCATGCCTGTCTCACCTCCCTTCTCTGCTCACCAGAAAGATTTCCCAGACATTAACAGACAGCATCATTTTTGTTCTACAAGGAACTCTCAGGAACAGATAAGATGGTCCCAGAGCAGACAGGAGCCAATGTACTTCTCTTCTTTCCTTGGAGAAATGGGGGACTGTGGGTGTGAAATATAAAAGATGCTGTGAGGCAGTTTATGTTTTTCTTGGTTTGGCTTAATTACTTCTTTGTTATATGGTAAAGGAACACTTTGGGGCAGCTATGGTAGACACACTGGTAGACCATTGGACCTGGATTCCAGAGGACAGATTTCAGAGTTCAGATTTAGCCTCAGACCTTCACTAGTTATTGTGACTCTGGAAAAAAGTACTGTATGAATGTTAGCTATTAAGGGGAGGGGTTTACCTGGGAATAATTGTAGTACAGAAACAAACAGCGTCATTAAAACCTTTACTATTTTAAAAAGTCGTTTAGGAAAAGAACAAATAAATTGCTTGAGCTGGGTGCTTTGAGGTCGTTAGAGGGAGGCATTATAGAAATCCTGTACAAGGAGTCCAAAGAGGGATGTTATGGGGGGGGAGTTACCTCGAAATCCAGGGAAATGTATGGTTCTTTAGGAGTGAAGGTAATCAAAGATCTCCTTGAACCATCTCTTCCACCCGCATTTTTCAGGCTTTATCTTGGGAAAACCAGCTCCTTGCTGCTGGGGAAAGGTGCATGTATGGGAGAGAGCAGGAGAGGCAGTCCTTCCCACCCCTCCCCTTAATGAGTGGTCTATTCCTTTTTTGCGGATGGGACAAGCTGAGAAGCCTTGGCCCGGCTAAGGCAGAAATCTTGGCCTAGGCATATTCTCAGCTCTAGCTGAGCAGGGAAGGGGGGGGGGAGGGTCGAGGTAGGGAGCTCATTTCTCATCCATCCAATTGATGTCATGCTCAGGTTATCAGCTTCCTCTAACACCTCCCCTCACATTCCTCCTCTTCCTTTGGGTTCTTCGTGCCTATCAACCCCACACCCATATCCTGTCTGGGGCTATGTGTAAGAGGGGAAAAAAGAAAAGGGAAAAGAATCATATCAGATATTTCCAGAGGGGAGAGGGCTCCACCCTTTGAAACCCAGCCACATGGCAGTTGTAGAGGAGCAGCGTTAGGGACCACTGCCTGACAAACCCAGGGACAGGGCCAGATCTGCCTGGAAAGAATTCACAGATGCTTTTCTGCACAGTTCTACTTGTTGAGTAAGATGTGCTCTCATGCCTCTGCCTCATTTCCTAAATTCTACTTAATGAATGTTAATTAGCACCTATAATGACTAAGTTGAACTGTGGAAGGGTAGATGGATTTAGGATTCAGGTGGGAAGTAGTAGAAAGTTCCCTGGCTCTGGACTTGGAGGAGTTGGGCTCAAATCCTTTCTTTAATGCTTCTACCAGTGTGACTGCAAGAAAGACCCTTAACCTTTCTGGGCATTAGTTTCCTTCTCTGTAAAATGAAGGGATTGGACGTAATAATAATAATGATAATACCAACAGCTGGCATTTATATAGCACTTTAAGGTTTGCAAAATGCTTTACATATGTTTTCTTGTTTGGTCCTCACAACCTTGTGAGGTAGGTGCTATTACAGATAAGGAAACTGAGGCTAGAAGTCAAGTGACTCACCTAGGGTCACATAGCTAATAAGTTTCTGAGGCTGGATTTGAACTCAGCTCTTCATGACTTCAAGTCAAGTGCTCTACTTGCTAAACCATTCAGTTGCCCAGTGGTGATCCTTAGGGGCAGCTAGGTGATGAAGTGGATAGAGCACGGGACCTGTAGTTAGGAGGACCTTAGTTCAAATCCAGCCTCAGACACTTACTAGCTATGTGACCTTGGGCAAGTTACTTACTCCTGTTGGCCTTAGTTTCCTCATCTGCAAATTGAGCTGGAGAAGGAATTGGTAAACCACTCTAGTATCTTTGCCAAGAAAACCCCAAACGGGGTCATTAAGAGTTAGATATGACTAAACAACAACAACAGTGATTCCTAAGGTCCCTTCTGTATCAATCACCAAGTATTTGTTAAGTGCCTACTATGTGCCAGGTATTATGCTAGGAATTGAGGACACAAAGAAGTAGGTGGAGCTGAGTGCTGAGCTAGCGTCAAAAATACCTGAGTTCAAATCCAGCCTCAGATACCTATTAATTGTGTGACCCTGGGCAAATCACTTAACTTTTCTCTGGTTCAGTTTCTTTATCTTTCAAATGGGAAAATTAATATTTAACCTACCTCTCAGGGTTGCTGTGAGAATAAAATGTGGTAACATTTGTTAAGTGTTTTATAAACCTTAAAGTACTATGTAAATGCTAGCTTTTTTAAAAAAAAGAAAGTCTCTGATCTCAAATGTTACAAAATACTACAGGAACTTAGTAGAAAGAGAGATTACTTCTGGCTTAGAGATAAGAGCATCAAGGAAAGACTCCTGGAAGAAGCAGCAATTTTAATTAAACTTGTTGGATAGGCTTTTGACACATAATTTCCACCATTCCTTTTTTTCCTCCTTTTGTTGCTCAGTTGTATCTGACTGTTCGCCTATTTGGGGTTTTCTTGGTAAAGTACTGGAGTGATTTGCCATTTCCTTCTCCAGCTTATTTTGTAGATGAGGAAACTGAGGCCAATAGGGTTAAGTGACTTGCCCAGAGTCACATAGCTAGTGTCTGAGGCCAGATTTGAACTCAGGAAGAGAAGTTGTACTGGTTCCAAGTCCAGTGCTCTATCCATGATGCCACCTAGCTGCCTCTATTCCCCTCCTACCCATTCCTTTATCCAAAAGCTCAGGGCACATCAATTAATCTGCATAAAATTCACAAATGTTTTTCTGAAAAGTTCCTGTTTGGCCAATGTTTATTGAGGCCACCCATGTTTCCTAAATCAAGTACCCAGATTTGAGCCTGTCTAGACACCCCGAGGCAGAGTCCTATGAAAACCAATGAGAAATGAGAGGCAGTGATTTTTTTTTGGACGTTGATCATATCGACCAGTGCTTGTTTTCCAAGTTAGGTTTTTATCCAGCCCCACCCTTCTGATGCTCTGGCCCCTTGTTTGGGGACTGAAGAGGTGAAGGCCAGAGGAAAAAAAGTCAAGTTGTTGTTGTTTTTCC